AGTGGCTCATCATTTTACCTTCCCACCAGCAGCTTAGGAGGGATTGATTTTCTTACACCCTCACCAGTACTTGTTATTGTCTTTCTGTTTATTTATAACTATCCTAGGGGACATGAAGTGTTATTGTGATTTTGATTTGCATTTCCCTCATGACTAATGTTGCTGGGCATCTTTTCACATGCTTTTTGGCTATTGGCATATACTTTTTGGAGAATTGTCTCTTCACATCTTTTGCTTGTTTTTAACTTGGGCTATTTGTTTTTTATTGTCAGATTGTAGGAATTCTTTATACATAATGGATGCTAGTTTCTCATTAGATATTAGATTTACAAATTTTTCTCCCAGTTTGTGAGTTGCTGGCTTTAGATTTTACAAAGCGTTTCACATCTCTTAACTTCTAAATCTCACAATAGCTAGGCATAAATTTAGGCTCAAAGAGGTTAAATAATGTGTGTAGAATCAGAAGTTTGTTCATATGTGAATTCAATAAACTTTTACTGAGAGCCTACAAAGTTGACTGTTGCTAGGCTAGAAAGAAGATCAAGTGTCTAGAATTTGATTTCCATTTCAGTTTATTTTAATTTTTAAGTTTAATGTTTAATTTTATTTTAAAAATAAAAATAAAATTAAAATGTCACCCAGGCTGGAGTGCAATGGTGAGATCTTGGCTCACTGCAACCTCTGCCTCCTGGGTTCAAGTGATTCTCTTGCGTCAGCCTCCTGAGTTGCTGGGATTACAGCTGCCTGGCCGATTTTTTTACATTTTTAGTAGAGACGGGGTTTCACCATCTTGGCCAAGTTGATCTTGAACTCTGACCAACCTCAGGTGATCCTTATGCCTTGGCTTCCCAAAATGCCAGGATTACAGGCTGAGCCACCATGCCTGGCCTCCATTTCAGTTTAAAACCTCAAATGGAACCCCACTGGGATGAGAGAAAGTGAGGGGAAAGAAGAGAAAAGGAGAGAAGAAATAGGAGAGGCAACCAAGTTGCATGTCTTTTGCTTGTGTGTACTGCTTGGGAATCTCTTCGTTTTGTATACCCATCTTCACTTAAGGCTCCAAATATGAAAACATGAAACATTTATTTTAGAATTCAATCCTTACTTAAGCTGAACATAACCCATACTCCCTGGTCTCCTTCTGTTAAATTACTTAGCCATCACTCTCTTTGGTTTCACTGTGGTGGATCACAGAGCAAGGACTGGAAGGCCCATTCTGAGGTCTCCACTTTACATCTGAGCCAGCATGAGAGTGGGTCCTCTCCATAGGGGCAGACTCTTGTTAACAAAGACTGATAATAAAGTCATATTGTCAGTTTGTTAAATTACAATGAAAAATACAGTTTGACATTTAGTTAGTAGTATATTCGCCCTTTCTAGGCAAGTAGTTCATGACATTGGCTGCACAGTGGGGTCACTTGGTGTATTAGTCTGTTTTCACACTGCTGATAAGGACATACCTGAGACCGGGCATTTACAAAAGAAAGAAGTTTAATGGACTTGCAGTTCCACATGGCTGGGGAAGCCTCACAATTGTGGCAGAAGGCAAGGAGGAGCAACTCACATCTTACGTGGATGGCGGCAGACAAGAGAAGAGAGCTTGTGCAGGGAATCTCCCCCTTATAAAACCATCAGATCTCGTAAGACTTATTCACTATCACGAGAGCAGTACAGGAAAGACCTGCCACCATGATTCGACTATCTCCCACTCCGTCCCTCCCACAACAGGTGGGAATTCAAGATAAGATTTGGGTGGGGACACTGCCAAACTATATCACTTGGGCAGCTTGACCGACTCCCAATTCCTAGGCTTGATTCTGGAACAATGAAATGAGGATCTCCAAGGATGGGGCCCAGGTGTCAATGTTCTTTTAAAGCTTCCCAGGTGATCTCAATGTGAATGCAAGGTTGTGAACCACTGCTTCTGGAATACCTGCACCCTGAGAAGGTATAATCAGTAGTGTGTAGAATCAGAAGGCAATTCATTTGTAAATTTAATACACTTCTATGGAGAGCCTACAAAGTTGATTGTTAGTAGGCTGGAAAGAAGTAATTAAATTGTAATCAAATAGACATGGAGTTAGAGTTCATCATTTAGTCCACAAATATTTATAAATATTATGTGCTAGGTGCTGGGATAAACATAAGTCGATACAGTTTGGTGGTTATCAAAATGGGCTTTAGAATGAAATTTCAGGTCCTGGCTCCACTGTTTACTAGTGTGTGACTTTATTTCTCTAAGCTTGAATTTCTCTGCTGGTAAAATGGGGTTGCTAACAATAGTGCCTACTTCAGAGACTTGCTTGAGAATTGTCAAATGATGCGGTGTTTCCAAAATTTCAAGATTTGTTCTAAAGCTATACCCATGTGCAACCTGTACTACTGATTACTTAATATTTCATTTACTGGCTCATTTTTTCTTCTTAAATATTTCCTTTGGTCTCACTCCAAGTGGTATCATCTATAAAATACTTGGTTTGATGGGCTAGCTATAGTTTTTCCTAACACATAGTAAAATATATAATTTAACAAATAAGTGACTTTTGTTTGCCACCTGAAAGTGTTGCTCATATCAGTTGTGGGAACACATCTTTGGGAAACAAGGAATATCTGGGATATTTGCATCTGAGCCAGCATGAGAGTGGCTCCTTTCCATAGAGGCAGATGCTAATAATAGTGCCTACTTCAGGGGCTATTGAAGGAATATGGTTCGCACCTAGAAAGCTCTCAGCTCACTCAGCTGATGATAATTTTTTTTTTTTTTTTTAAGACAGAGTCTCACTCTCTCACCCAGACTGGAGTGCAGTAGTGAGCGACATCTGGGCTCACTGCAACCTCCACCTCTCAGGTTCAAGTGATTCTCCTGTCTTACCCTCCTGAGTAGCTGGGATTACAGGTGTTTGCCACCATGCCAGACTAATTTTTGTATTTTTAGTAGAGATGGGGTTTCACCACATTGGCTGGGCTGGTCTCAAATTTCTGACCTCAAGTGATCCGCCCACCTTGGCCTCCCAAAATGTTGGGATTACAGGCACGAGCCATTGGGTCCGGTCAGTTATTTTCTTTATATAGAAGTTTCTGGGCTGGGTGCAGTAGCTCACACCTTAATCCCAGCACTCCGGGAGGTTGCACAGGATGATTGCTTGAGTCCAGGAGTTTGAGATCAGCTTGGGCAACACAGGGAGACTCCATCTCTACAAAAAAAGAAAAAAAAATTAGCCAGGCATGGTGGTACATGCCTGTGGTTCCAGCTACTGGGAGGGCTGAGGTGGGATGATCACTTGAGCCTGGAGAGGTGGAAGCTGCAGTAAGTCGTGATTGTGCCACTGAACTCCAGCCTGGGTGACAGAGTGAGATTCTGTCTAAGAGAAAAAAAAAAAAAAGAGGTGCTTGATAAATAGTAGCTATCCTTTATTGGCCCCGGGAACAAGAAGTAAGTTATGTTTAGGGAAGGAAAACAAACAAACAAATGTGTACTAAGCAAGCCTGTAGCTTTAATCAAGTGCTGGTGTGTGTGTGTGTGTGTGTGTGTGTGTGTGAGTTGTGTGAGAACACATCTCCAGTTCTATCTACTATAGAATTAGGAGCGTACGAAAAAGACTTTACATTTATAAACAGAACATACACATACACACATGTGTGCACAATTATACACACAATTTAATCATTATAAAACCACATCCATATTGTTGCTACCTAGGTTAAGAAATAGATCATAGCAGCACCCCAACACGCTGAAAGGCCTCCATCAGGTAACTACTATTCTGACTTTTGCTTTCTTTATGGGTTTGCCATTACTTTTAAAAATGGCAAAAACCTCAATGATTTGCATCAACCTAAATACATCCCTCCTTAAACTACGTTGTTTTGTTTTGTCCGCTTTTGGAATTTATATGAATGGAATCATATGTCATTGTCTTGCTTCCTTCATTAGGCCTTGTTTTGAGACTCATTATGCCATTGTGGTTAGTTGCAGTTTATTCTTGTTCATTGTTTATGAAAACACTGCAATACACAATTTTGTCTTTTCTACTGCTGATGGACATTTATGTCGCTTCCAGTTTTTTGCCAACACTATTTTGTATTCTTATACACATCTCTTGGTGTACATAAGTAGGAGTTTCTCGCTGGGAGCGGTGGCTAAGGCCTGTAATCTCAGCACTTTGGGAGGCAGAGGTGGGCGGATCACTTGAGGTCAGGAGTTCAAGACCAGTCTGGCCAACATGGTGAAACCCCATCTTTACTAAAAATACAAACAATTGGGCATGGTGGTGTGCCCCTGTAATCCCAGTTACTTGGAAGGGTGAGACAAGAGAATAGCTTGAACCTGGGAGGTGGAGGTTGCAGTGAGGCGAGATCGTGCCATTGCACTCCAGCCTGGGAGACAGAGCAACACTTCGCCTCAAAATAAATAAATAAATAAATAAATAAATAGGAGTTTTTCTTAGGTAGAGAAACTACTCCTAGCAATAGTCATAGAATGCACAAATCTTCAATGTTAGCAAATAGTGCCATACTTTGTTTTTTTTAAATTTCAGAGATTGTGTCCATTTACACGTCTACGGGTACTGTATAAATGTGTGTACCTCCACATCTTCGCAAACACTGTCACATCCTTTTGTTGTTGTTGTTCTCGAATTTGAGTGTTATTGTTTCTCATTGTGACTTTATTTTTCATTTTTTCTGATTATGAACGAGGTTGACACCTTTCATACATTTGTTGGTCATCTGGATTTCCGTTTTGGTGACGTGCCTATTTTAAGTATCTCTTCTATAATTTATTTTAAAGTGTCCTTTCAGACAGCCTCAATGACTTTCATCAACTCCTTGCAGGGCAGTCAGCCGGGAGATAGAGTAATCAAGGTAGGTTGAAGTCAACCTCAAAACATTCGCCGCCTCAGCTGTAGCAGAGAACCATTGGGTTTCCCCAGGTGACAAGTACTTCTACCTTAGCCGCATGAGAGAGAAAGAAGACCAGGCTGAGTAGCCTGGCTGCCTACCTCCTCGCAGGTGGCCGAGAGCAGGGGACAGCGCCCAGGCGACTTCCTCAAGGATCCTAGATAAACAGTCGCGTCCCCAAACGCAGCATCCTGCTTAACCGCCAATTTCAAACTTCCAAGACCTGCCCAGCCGACTTTGCCCTTCCCTTTATCCCATTGGTCGCGAGTCAAAGGAAGATGCAATTTGATTGGCTCTCCTTTTCACTTTCTCCATCACTTTAAAGACGTGGGCGGGGCCTGGCTGAGAAGCCCATGTCTATCATAGGAACGGGCACGCTGATTGGTCCAGACACGGCTGAGACCCGCCCGCGCCGTTTCTCTGGTTCAAACGCGGCGGCGGGAGGCGCGGGGCGGAGCAGATCGCAGACCAGCCGGGTCCGCAGAGCGTGAGTCTGAGCCCCTAGACCCAATTCTACCGCACCCTGCTCCGCAAGGCCAGGGGAAGGCCTCCTCCACCCACACCAGTCCCGGCTTTCCCTCCCGCCGCGGGGAGGGCGGTGCTTCCACCGCTAGGGTTGCGGGAGGCCTGGAGGGTCTTCCCAGGCTGGCTGTGCGCGCGCCCACTCTCCTCAGGAGCCGAGGGGTCTGCCGGGTGGTGCCGGGGCGGGAGGCTTGCTCCTCCCCTAAACCAGGAGGAGCCCTATGTCTCTTCAGCTCTGCCTCCTGTCAGCACTAACTGCTTTATTCTGCCCAGTGTAGTCAGCCAGTTCCTTATTATCTGCGTGATAGCAATTTTCTTAACCTGTCTGTTTCAGTGTCTTCATACCTCGTGCCCCTCCCACCACCTGCTGATGCCCCCGCCTCTTTCGCTCTGCTCCAGTCCCTCTGGCCTCCCTGTTATTGTTGGAGAGGCCAGGTCCTGCCTCAGTGCTTTTGGCTTGGCTGTTTCCTTTGCCACAGATATCTTTCTTTCCCCAGATATCAACATGGCTTGCTGGTCACCCACTGCAGGTCTTCAAGTCTTGGGTCAAATGGTGTCTTCTCTGTGAAGTCTGACTTGACCACACTAAAGATTGCACCGTCTCACCCCCATTGCCCTTATCTTACTTGGTTTTGTTTTTACCTCATAACACTTAACACCTTCCAACAAACTATATATAGTTTGCTTATTTCAGTCATTCATTTAATAACTATTTATTCACACCTATTTATGTGCCAGGCTATGTGTGCCCCCACGCAGTGGGGGCAAAAATCTCTGCCCTTGTGGAGCTTCCATTCTAAGGGGGGAGATAATAGACACATTGATAAGTAAGAGAGTGTCAGATAAATGTATCACCTCCTGTTACGGTGAGTTAAAATCTGGTGTTTAATCTCCATGATTAGACTGAGCTTCCTAAAACTGGAGTGGTAGCTAATTTTCATCTCCTTGTCCCTGATACCTTGAGGGAGATCAGGATCTCTCAAGCCCTTCCTGCTCAAAACATAGGACATACTTGACTTTTCTGATATCCTTTCAGCACCAGTGGGGAGATGTTGAAGTTCAAATATGGAGCGCGGAATCCTTTGGATGCTGGTGCTGCTGAACCCATTGCCAGCCGGGCCTCCAGGCTGAATCTATTCTTCCAGGTAACAGGCTACCCTGCCAACTTTGCTCACCTGTGTGTTTCCTTGGAATCTCCTTGTCACTCACCTTTGCTTTTATTTTATTTATTTATTTAGAATCTCACTCTGTCGCTCAGGCTGGAGTACAGTGGTGCAATCTCAGCTCACTGCAACCTCTGCCTCCTGGGTTCAAGCGATTCTCCTGCCTCCGCCTCCAGAGTAGCTGGGACTATAGGCGCCTGCCACCACACCCGACTAAGTTTTGTATTTTTTTTTTTTTTAGTAGAGACGGGTTTCACCATGTTGGCCAGGCTGGAGTCAAACTCCTGACCTCAAGTGATACTCCTGCCTTGGCCTCCCAAAGTTCTGGGATTACAGGCATGAAATGCGCCAGGCTTGCTTTCATTATAGGACCAAGGATAATATTTTAGGAGAAATTCTGTTTTCTTTTGCTTGAAACAAGGTCTTCTGTCGACTCTAGGCCTGTGCCACCATGCCCAGCTAATTTTTAAATTTTTTGTAGGGATGGGGTCTCACTATGTTGCCCAGGCTGATATTGAACACCTGACTTCAAGGGAGCCTCCTGCCTTGGCCTCCCAAAGCACTGGGGTTATAGGTGTGAGCCACTGGCCTTCTATTTGGAGTTTTATATGCACTGATTATTTTGGAAAAAGGACACTGTGCAGAAGTAGATAGCTGAACTTGCCTTAGGAGGGAGATCTTTTCATATTTCTCACACTTTACACTTCTGTACTAAAGTTCATTAATTGATTGATTGACAGGGTCTTGCTCTGTGGCTCAGGCTGGAGTGCGTTGGCACAATCACGGCTCACTGTAGCCTTGACCTCCCGGGCTCAAGCGATCCTCCCACTTCAACTTTCCAAGTAGCTGGGACCACAGGTGTGTGCCACCACACCTGGCTCATTTTTGTATTTTTTGTAGAGATGAGGTTTCACCATGTTGCCCAGGCAGGTCTCGAATTCCTGGGCTCAAGTGATCCACCTGTCGCAGCCTCTGAAAGTGTTGGGCTTACAGGCGTAAGTCACTGCACCAGGGTAAGTTTGCCCTTTTATTGGAGAAAGAAAAATAAATGAACAAAGATGCTTTTTAAAACTACAATTTCTGTGGGTATCATCCTATTCATTTTCATTGCAGGGATGTTTATTTTTTAAGATTTAAAAAAAAGTTTTGATGAATATCACACCTGTTTAACCCTCATTCCTCTCAAGATAACACATTTCCATCACCCCAGATGTGTTAAAACTTAATGTCATAAGATTACTTCCAAATAGATTTTTAATTCTTTTGTTTCTGATGTATGTGGAACACTGGTGAAGTAGAAATCCTTGTTTGATTTATGTATTCATAAGTCAGGGGGACAGTAGAGACTGTGAAGATTTAGAATTGAATCCTAGTCCCAGCACTAGTTAGCTGTGTTACTCTGGGTGAGTCAGTTACCTTTTCTGAGTCTATTTGCTGTTCTTTAAAATAGGTTGTAGCCTGTAATCCCAGTATTTTGAGAGGCTGAGGTGGGTGGATTACTTGAGGTCACGAGTTCGAGACCAGCCTGGCCAACATAGTGAAACCCCATCTCTACTAAAAATATAGAAAATTAGCTGGGCGTGGTGGTGGCATGCACCTGTAATCCCAGCTACTTGAAAGGCTGAAGCAGGAGAATTGTTTGGACCCGGGAGGCGGAGGTTGCAGTGAGCTGAGATCGTGCCACTGCACTCCAGCCTGGGCAGCAGAGTGGGTGAGACTCCATCTCAAAACAAAACAAAAGAAAACAAAAAAATAACGTAGAGGTTGTAGTACCTAATCCACAGGGTTGTTGTGAGGATTAAATGAGATATTACATATAAAGCATTTAGCACCTTGCCTGGCTGTTAGTAAACCCCTTATAAAAAATGGTAAGTATTGTTAATACTCAGCATTGAATAGTATTAGTTATAATATTAATACTAAATTTCTGTATCCTTAATAGGAATTATGTTTAGGAAGGTAGTTATGTAGGATACCTGTAAGATGATGAACAATGAAGTATTCTTGATAACTTTTTGTTTTTTCCAAAATATTAGTATTGGGTGTTTAAACAGATCAGAGTGGAAACAAATTGAAAGCTTAGGTTGTTCTGTGGGACCATCGCCATCAGCATTTTAAGTCTTGACATATTTTTTACAAATGAATAGTCTGTCTTTAGCCTTAGATGGCTGGAGTGCTGCTACTTTTCAGCCCCTTTATCATGCTACTTCAAAATATCTCTAACTTGCTGGGCGTAGTGGCTCACGCCTGTAATCCTTGCACTTTGGGAGGCTGAGGCGGGCGGATTGCTTGAGGTCAGGAGTTTGAGACCAGCCTGGGCAACATGGTGAGACCCCTTCTCTACTAAAAACACAAAAAATAGCTGACTGTGATGGCGGGTGCCTGTAGTCCCAGCTACTTGGGAGGCTGAGGTGGGAGGATCGCTTGAGCCCTGGAAGCAGAGGTTGCAGTGAGTTAAGATCGTGCCATTGTACTTCAGCTTGGGCGACAGAGCAAGACCTTGTATCTTAAAAAAAAAAAAGAAAAAAACATTTCCACCTTACTTATTAAGGGCTTATAATGTGCTGAGTATGTAATAGTTATGGCTTCCAATGTGTCTGGTATAGAACTGGCATGTTTCTGAGTATCCCACTTCAGCCTCGTAACAGAGGTAAGGACTATTTTTATTTAAACTTTAAGTAAAAAGTTTTTATTTAGGAGACAACAGGCCAGGTGTGGTGGCTCACACCTGTAATCCTAGTACTTCAGGAGGCTGAGGCAGGTGGATTGCTTGAATCCAAGAGTTCAAGACTAGCCTGGGCAAAATAGTGAAACCCCATCTCTACAAAAAATATAAATAATTAGCCAGGCATGGTGGTGTGTGCCTGTAGTCCCAGCTACTCAGGAGGCTGAGGTGGGGGCATAGCTGGGGCCCCGGAGGCAGAGGTTGCAGTGAGCTGAGATTGTGACACTGCACTCCAGCCTGGGTGACAGAACGAGGCCCTGTTTCTAAATAAATACATAAATAGGAAGCAACAGATATAGACATATATGGAAGTAGACAAGGCCTTGCCCAAGATCATACACGTTGAGCTTTGCAGATGGAGCCAAGATCAGACTCCATCTTTGGTTGGTCCGACTCCAAAGGCTGACCACATAGCCATTGGGCCATACCGTCTGTGCACGTCAGAGTTTATTAAGTATGTCTTGTATTTTGTCATTATAACAGGAAGAATTATAGGTAAACCCTCAGTTCATCTCTTTTTAATGCTGAGTTCCCCCCACCCAGTAAAGCTATTATTGCAAGTGTATTATATACCTGTCATTTGCCTTGAGTGATCAGGTAAGGATGCTGTTTGTTCTTTTCCCATATAGTGCTGTTTGAATGAGATTGAGATACAGTAGCAATTTTGTTTCCCATTCAGGTGAGTACTTTACACTGAGTGTCATTTTGTCTTTTTTACTTCTACTCAACAGGATTTCCTAACATGTTCGAGGTCAGTGATTGTCAGACTTTCAGAGCCAGCAAAATTTCCCAAATTGCTGGGTAGACACAGGTTTTCTTATTTTGCCAAGTAAGGATATTTAAAAAAAAAATAATAAAAAGAAAAACCTATTATTTTCTTGCCCTTTTATTTCATAAAGGGCATTTTAAGAAACAACAAGACAGGAAGAACATCATCTCAGAATAAAGGACCATTTTTAAATTTGAATACATTTAGTTTTATGAAAAAAGATATCATGTGGCATTCATTTTTTCTCATTTCACTGCAGGCTGTTGAAAACTTTGTTAAGACCCAGTACTGCATTTGGGAACCCCTGCTTTAGTTGGTCTAAACTCTTGAAGAATACAAGAAACAAAGCGTTTTATTTTCCTGAGTTAGTGGCAACTATTACTAAAGTGACAGATATGGTGGCCTTGAATGCAGTGCTTCCCAAACCTGACTGAGGTCTGACTCTCTTGGGGACCAGGGTCTCATTCCGTTGCCCAGGCTGGAGTGTGGCAGCACAATCTTGGCTCACTACAGCCTTGACTTCTTGGGCTCCAGTGATCCTCCTACCTCAGTCTCACGAGTGGCTAGGACTACAGGATCATGCCACTACACCTGGCTAATTTTTTTTGTTTGTTTGCAGAGATGGGGTCTCGCTGTATTGCCCCGGCTGGTCTTGAACTCCTGGGCTCAAGTGATCCTCCCACCTTGGCCTCCCAAAGTGCTAGGATTCCAGGTGGGAGCCACCTCACCCTGCTGGGGAACTTGTTAATAAAACAGATCCTAGGCTACAGTCTGGAAAATTCTAATTCAATAGGTTGTGGGGGAGGGGAAGCATAGGACCAGATAATGTGTGTGTTTGTTTTTTTTCCTTAAATTCTCCAGTGCTCTTGTGATTCAAATGGAGCAGTCCCTTTCTGTTATCAAGTGCTGTGTAACAAAGCACTCACGACGTTTAAAGCAACAATGATTTATTTTTCTTAGGATTCTGTGGATTGGCTGGACTCAGCTAGGTAGTTCTTCTGCTTCATCCTGTGATGTCAGCTGGGGTTACTTGTGGGGCTACATTCAGCTGGGATTATGTCTGGGACTGGAACATGTGGGTGCTGACTGCTGGCTGGGGCACCTTAGTGTTTCTTACGTGGCCTCTCTTCTCCATGAGGTCTTTCAGTAGTGTAGCCCAGGACTCGTAACTTTTTTTTTTTTTTTAAGACAGAGTCTCGACCCGTTGCCCAGGCTGGAGTGCAGTGGCATGATCTCTGCTCACTGCAACCTCTGCCTCTTGGGTTCAAGCGATTCTCCTGCCCCAGCCTCCTGAGTAGCTGGGATTACAGGCGCTCACCTCCACGCCCGGCCAATTTTTGCATTTTTAGTAGAGACGGGGTTTCACCACGTTGGTCATGTGGGTCTCCAACTTCTGACCTCGTGAGCCGCCTGCCTTGGCCTCCCAAAATGTTGGGATTACAGGCGTGAGCCACCGCTCCTGGCTGACTTGTAACTTTTTTTTTAAGTAATAAATATTTTAGGCTTTGTGGGTCCTGTAGTCTCTGTTGCAACCACTCAACTTGGCCATGGTAGCACAAAAGCAGTTAAAAACAATATGTAAATGATGGATGTGGCTGTGTTCCAGTAAAACTTATAAAAAGTCCGTGGGCTGGATTTGGTCCAAGGGCTATAGATTGTACACCCCTGGTCTAGCCCAAGCATCTTTGCATGGTGGCTGGCTTCCCAAAAGTGGAAACTGGTAAGCTGCTTTTCTTTTGAGAGGGAGTCTTTCTTTGTTGCCCAGGCTGGAGTGCAGTGGTGTGATCTCGGCTCACTGCAACCTCCGACTCCCGGGTTCAAGCAATTCTCATGCCTCAGCCTCCCAAGTGGTTGGGATTACAGGCGCCCACCACCATGACCGGCTAATTTTTGTATTTTAGTAGAGACAGGGTTTCACCATGTTAGCCAGGGTAGTCTCAAACTCCTGACCTCAAGTGATCCACCTGCCTTGGCCTCCCAAAGTGCTGGGATGACAGACATGAGCCACCATGCCTGGCCGCTTGACAGGCTTCTTAAAGGCACTGCCCTGAACTGGCACAGTATCTCTTGTGTCACATTCTTTTGGTTGAAGAGAGTCTCAGAGATGGCACAGATTCAAAGATAGGAGAAATAGACTCCAGCACTTAAAGGAAGGAATAGCATGTGCCTACCGAATTGGAGGAACTGTTGGAGGCCATCTTTGCAGCGAGACCACACTATTCATGGCTTGGCACGTGGGACTCACTGCTCTACACCAGGGTCACAGACTCATGTCTTTGGGGGCCGGGCAGTGAGTATAAATGAGTTAGGTGGGCCAGTTGGAAGATGGAGTCAGACCTGCAGTAAACTCCGGACCACATCTGCTACCGGGAGGGGCAGCATTACTCAGCTCCAGCTCAGCGTCATCAGGCAGGAAGGCGAGGCAGGAAGGCGAGGCAGTGTTGCCGGATCTGCCAGTGTTTCAAGAGAAGCTAGAGACTCCATTTTTATTTTTTTTGTATGGAATCTCCTGATTTTGAAATATTGGCAGATAATTCAAATTATCTTAAACACTACAGGCCAAACAAAACATATCTGTAGGCTAGAGACAGTCTGCCAGTTTGTAACTATTTCTCCAGATCATGAGTAAATTTGGCTTTATGATAGTCACTCAGTTCTCATTACTCTAGGTTGTTCAAATGAATTAAAAAAGCTGAAATTATATGAATAAACCCCTGGGCACACGTGAAAGAAGTGAAAAACCCATGTTTCCTATTGTAGAAACATGGAAGCATGTCAGAGCCAGAGGATCTAGCCTCAGACCCTCAGGAGTGAGGGACCTTTTCTTGTTAATGGCCATGCTTGTGCAGTTTTCCCTCCCAGGTGCTGGTGAAAGAAACCCACAGTCCTGGAATCATGGAAGTGATACCATAATGACTGTTGGTTGACGCTGCTTTAAAGAATGAAGCCACAGAATTGTGCTGTTAGCATGTCGTGAGCAGTTAGTTGAGTTGGTGGCTTGTAATTTACTCTGTGTGGATGTTATTGATCAAAGCTTTTCATTATTGACAGTGTCTCCATCTGCTGTTTGCTGTTTTTAGGGGAAACCACCCTTTATGACTCAACAGCAGATGTCTCCTCTTTCCCGAGAAGGGATATTAGATGCCCTCTTTGTTCTCTTTGAAGAATGCAGTCAGCCTGCTCTGATGAAGATTAAGCATGTGAGCAACTTTGTCCGGAAGTGTAAGTTTGGGGAACTTTTTCTTGAAAACCGTCATGAGAGAGAAAAGTAGAAAGATGCTTGAGGCAGAATGAGTTACTGGTTGATAGTGGGTAAGAACTCTGGTTCTATATAAGACAGATCTAGGTTCAAGTTCAGGCTGCACCTCTTATAGCTGGGAGACCAGGTAAGTTGGGCTACTTGGTTGCAAGTGACAAACTCAATTCAAAGACTGAATTTAGGACAGGTGCAGTGGCTCATACCTATAATCTCAGCCCTTTGGGAAGCTGAGGTGGGCGAATCGCTGGAGCCTGGGAGTTCAAGACCAGCTTGGGCAACATGGTGAAACCCTGTCTCTACAAAAAATACAAAAATTAACTGGGTATGGTGGCTTGCACCCGTGATCCCAGCTGCTCAGGAGGCTGAGGTGGGAGGATCACTGGAGCCCGAGAGGTCAAGGCTCAATGAACCATGATTGTGCCATTGCACTCCAGTCTGGGTGACAGAGTGAGACCCTGTGTGAATAAAAGAGTGAATTTATTGGCTTATGAAACTGAGAAATCCAGGAATGAGTTAAGTTTTAACTTTAGGCATAGCTGGTTCCAGAAACCTCAATAATACCCTGTGACCTCATGCTTATACTCAACTCAGGACTGACTTTCTATTAGGCAATGTAGGCACGGTGCTTAGGACCTGTGATATTTAATTTTAATGAATTTAATTAGTTTTAATTAACTGAATTAAATTTTAATTTGTTTTAAAATTACAGGAAAAATGAATGTAATAATGTATAATGATTCTGGATTACATTCATCTTTATACCAATGTAGTCATAGAATAAAATTTTTGTTTTTTTTGGAGACAAGGTCTTGCTCTATTACCCAGACTGGAGTGCAGTGGTATATCACAGCTTATTGCAGTTTCAACCTTCTAGGCTCAAGCAATCCTTCTACCTCGGTGGCTGGGACTACAGGCTCACACTACCACGCCCAGCTAATTTTTGCTTTTTTCTGTAGAGATAGGGTCTTACTATGTTACCCAGGCTGGTCTCAAACTCCAGGCTTTAAGCAGTCTTCCTGCCTCAGCCTCCCAAAGCTTTGGGATTACAGGCGTTGAGCCACCATGCCTGGCCCCATGAAACATAATTTTCGAATTCTTTTTTGTTTTTAATGGAGGAAGGGGCTGAGGAAGGCAAAAGTACCTAGGGCCTATGAAGTCATATATCGGCCTTGCCTTCACCCTGTTTCTGACTTTGCTTGACTTCCATGTGATGGGGCAGTGACTGGTGGTGTCCCAGTTTCATACTCTCACATTAGTGTTTTTCAACCAGTGGGTGACTTTGCCCCCTAGATGTTTCCGGTTGTCAGAGCTGGCTGGGGATGGTGGTGTGTGAGGTTGGGGGGAGGGTCCTACTGTCAGTTAATGGGTGAGGCCAGAGATGCTGCCAAACACCTTACAGTGCACAAAGCAGCCCCTGTAACACAGAATTATGTAGCCCACAATGCCAGTAGTGCTGAATTTGAGAAACCCCGCCTTGTACAACATTGCTGTGCAACCAACCACCCTAAATATTAGTGACTTAAAACAATAGTCATTGTGGCTGGGCGCGGTGGCTCATGCCTGTAGTCCCAGCACTTTGGGAGACTGAGGCGACGGATCACGTGAGGTCAGGAGTTTAAGACCAGCCTGGCCAACATGGTGAAACCTTGTCTCTACTAAAAATACAAGAATTAACTGAGCGTGGTGGTGGGCGCCTGTAATCCCAGCTACCTGGGAGGCTGAGGCAGGAGAATCATTTGAATCTGGGAGGTGGAGGTTGCAGTGAGCCAAGATCTCACCATCGCACTCCAGCCTGGGCAATGAGTGAGACTCTGTCTTAAAAAAAAAAAAGAAGTTATTGTATTACCTCTCGTGTGTGTAGGTTGATTGGACTCAGCTGGGAATTTCTCTGCTCTGTATTACATTGGCCAGGATTGCCGTCACCTGGGACTCTCCTGGGCTGGAATGTGTGAGAGGGCTTACTCACTGTTTGGTGTCCTGGCTGGGAGACTGGGCCCAGCTGGGCCTGTCTCTCTTCATGAAGTCTCAGGGCCTTTTGCTGTCTACATGGCACCTCTATGTGGTCTCTACATCAGAAGTCAAGGAACTACAGCCTGTGATGCCTATTTTGTAAACAAAGTTTTACTGGAACAGCCACACCCATGTGTTTGTACAGTGCCTATGGCTGCTTTCACATTATAACAGCATTTTATTTCATTTTATTTATTGTTTTAGAGACAAAGTCTCACTCTGGCTGGAGTACAGCAGCACAATCATAGCTCACTGCAGCCTCCAACTCCTGGGCTCAGGCAATCCTCCTGTCTCAGCCTCCTCAGTAGCTAGAACTACAGGCCCATGCCACCGTTAACGGCTAATTTTTAAATTTTATGCAGCGATGGGATCTTGCGAGATTGCCTAGGCTGGTCTTGAACTCCTGGCCTCAAGAAATCCTCCCACCTTGGCCTCCCAAAATGCTTGGATTACAGGCATGAGCCACTGTGCCCAGCCCACAACAGCATTTGAGTAGTTGTGATAGAGATCAAATGGCCTACAAAGCCCAAAATAATTCCTGTTTGGCCCATTTCGAAAAGGCTTGCTGACCTCTGAGCTACACGGTCTTTCTAGTAGGACAGCCTCGATGGTAGCTCAGGGTTTCCAAAACACAAAAGTGGAAGCTGCCAGGCTTTCTTAGGGGTTATCCTAGGAGGAACATAGGATCTCTTTGGCTGCATTCTATTGTTTGATGCATGCTCTGGGGCTGCTCAAATTCCACCTGAGAGGAAACTACACAAGGGCATGAATCCCAAGAGGACTGGGGTATTGGGTGCTATTTTTGGAGACTGGCTACCACACCCTGCCCAATGGTTATCTTCCCTTATCTAGGTTAATACAATCCCAGGGAAGATTCTAACTTGGCTCTGCTTTGGGTCATTTGCCTCCCTGGAGGTGAAGTATTGTGATCGGTTTTGTTGGAGTGCCCAAAGGGGTCAGGGCAGTGTGATTACCAGCACCTCATGGGATGGGGGATGCGTGGTTATGCAAAGGAGCCGGGGATGCTGAGTAGAAAAGAATCAGCATATGTTCACTATAGTGCCCTTCGGTATTTTACATGTACTTTGTTCTCAGTTTTCTCATCTGCAAAATGAGAATAATGTATATCCTTTTTTTGGAGTCTTGCTCTGTTGCCCAGGCTGGAGTACAGTGGCACAATCTCAGCTCACTGCAATCTCCACGTCCCGGGTTCAAGTGGTTCTCCTGCCTCAGCCTCCTGAGTAGCTGGGACTACAGGGGTGCACCACCACACTCAGCTAGTTTTTTTATTTTTAGTAGAGATGGGGTTTTGCCATGTTGGCCAGGCTGGTCTCAAACTCCTGACTTCAAGTGATCCGCCTGCTTTAGCCTCCGGAAGTGCTGGAATTACGGGCATGAACCACCGCACCCGGTGGGAATAATGTATATCTAGTGAGGCTGTGTTGGGATTGAGTGAGTTAATGCACAGACCAGACTTGTCATGTTGCCTGTCCCATAGGAGACAATAAATGGTACCCAGTAATCATAACTCTGAACCTCAACAACATTTAATGTATTGTATATCTTCAAAATGTACTTGAGATATTTGTTCATCATTCTGTTTTTGTTTGAATAAGCTCCCGCCTTCTTTTTTGAATATTTAAATTTATAAGTAGGGAGTGGGAGGGGAAGGAAATTATGCGATGAGGCTAGCTTACTGAGCCATCTGCAGGCACCTTCATTAGTCTTGAGGCTGTCCTCTGGTTACTTAACAGCAGTGAATTATCTAGAACCATATAGTGATCAGAAGACTTGGTTTAGTAGAATGTAGATGTTTTTCTAATAGAACTCTCTTCCAGGGAAATGTTTCATATGTTTGAAGAAGTTTCCTGGGGAGTGGTTAAGAGGCCATGATTGAAAATGGGTGATTACATTATGTTTTTTTTCCTCCCCTTTTTGAGTGTCTGTTTTGGAATGTAAGCTTTGTTTTTCCATGTGGAGAAGGGTCCATCAGCTGCTTCTGCCCAGGTTTTTTGAATCTTCCTATAGGGATGGAGATTTTCTTTGGGGACTGTTAGAGAAAATAGAACAGAGAGTAGCTCTGAAGGATGTCTCCAGCAGAAGTACCCCTAGCCTTGGGCCAAGGGAGGGAAGGGAAGGGATTTTTGTCTTTCTTAATTTCTCTTACATCCCCAGTACCTAAAATAGTATCTGGCATATGTTAAGTACTTAATAAATACTTGTTGAATGAGTGTATTGCTCAGTGAACAAAATAAATGTCAAACATTAAGCACAGTATCAGATAATTTGTGTAAAAAATATACAGCAGTGTGATATTAAAACTTGCACAGAGGCCAGGTGCAGTGGCTCATGCCTATAATCCCAGCACTTTGGGAGACCGAGGTGGGCGGATCTTTGAGCTCTGGAGTTCGAGACCAACCTGGGCAACATGGTGAAACCCTGTCTGTACAAAAAAATGCAAAAGTTAGCTGGGGCATGGGGGCACACGTCTGTGGTCCCAGCTACTTGGGAGGCTGAGGCTGGAGAATTGCTTGAAGCTGGGAGGTGGAGGTTGCAGTGAGCCAAGATTGTGCCCAGCCTGGGTGACAGAGTAAGACCCTGTCTCAAAACACAAAACAACACCCCCTTCAAAAAAAAAAAAAATCCAAAACCACCACCACAACAAAAAACTTACACAGAAAAGTGTTGATAATTGTGAAAGTTGGGGCTGTTACTGGCAATTTGACAGTAGCTGAATTACTACCATTTCAGCTATATTCACTATAGATAACACCTTCAATATATTTACAGCTTTAGTTCCAATAGCAAATGATAACTTTTGAAAAGTTGTTTTTTTTTCTTCCTTATTGCAAACATAATATGCAATACAATGTTAAATATAGAAGGTTAAATATGTATCTGAGTCTGTTCGGGCTGTGATAATAGATACCTTAGACTTGGTAATTTATAAAGA